CCCGTAATTCTGCAGCTCTTTATTTCTCCTGAAATAAGTTCAGGATAGTATCTGCCAACATGAGTTAACTGATGAGAACTGAGAAATAAATGCATGATCTCTAATACTTTATAGGGGGCTCGATGTTCTAGATTATTTGTAGACAAATTTGCATCTTGCTGTTTCACTGTGGTTGTTTTCTACAAATTGCAATGGTGCCCCCTAGTTAGTCTACCGTGTGAGGAAAAATGCAATTGTGACCATGCTGCGCTGCTTTTTGAAATGAGTTCAACTCCTTACTAATTTTCTTATAAAGCTACTACTTCAAAACAGTCAAGTTGTCACAATAACGCTGCATTCTTCCTTAAATGGGTCAACTGGTACTGAATCAATCAGATAAGAAAAACATCCTCTTGTCCAAGGCCTTCATTTGCAATGTGAAAACCAGAGACAACAAAGATGACGGTGGGACTTCCCTGGTGGGACTCCCCACTTCACTTCAGTGATTAAGAATTTGCCTTACAATGCAGGGGACATGGGTTCAATCCCTAGTCGGGGGACCTAACGTCCCACATGACACGGAGCAAATAAGCCCGTGGGCCACAGCTAGAGAGAGCCTGTTTGTCACAATGGAAGATACCACGTGAAGCAACGAAGATCATGTGTGCCGCAACTAAGACCTGATGTAGCCAAATTAATTAATTAATAAAAAAAATATATGTGGGTTAAATGACAGAGTCCGATTAGAGCTCAAGTTTTCTGACCGGCAGTCTCAAGCCCCATTACCGCTGTGAGAGTAAATACCTTTAAACAAACCTGGATAAAGGCTTGGAGCTGGGCTATTAATCCTTCTTCAAGCACCATGGGGGTCACCTTGCCTGGGGCCTACAAGTCGGGGGCCATGCTCCCACCTCCGCTAACTCAGCTGGCTCAGGTGGTCCTGCCATGGTGGCAGGAGGTGGTGGGCACACAATGTGGCCTCCAGGACTGTGAGCTGAAACCAGGTCTGTCTATTGGAACTGTTTACCAACCCATTACCAAGAGCATGCCTTGACCTGCTCTTGATAACAACCCATTAATTGATTCCACTCTCCATTAAGTGGTCATGACTGAATGCTTTAAAAGCTCTGGTCTGTACAGTGATCACATAGGAAATAGAATGAATTTGGGGAAAGAATATACTTTAATTTTAATGACATTTTAATTAAAATGTCATTAAAATTGAATCTAATGACATTTTAATTGTAATTCCAGTTGGATATAGAGAGTTTTGTCTAAAATCCATTGCCATATGAAATTCTAAAACAGTGCTAAGTTCTTATCATGTGCTTCAAAATTCAGAAAAGAGAATTAAAATGAAAGTACTTACTTTCTCAAAATATTCAAATAACAACTTCTCTTGTAGCTTGAAGTGTTGTTACCAACTTGTAATTAAAACTTAAAGTCTAAGCTTTGGATCCAGGCCATGAGGTGTAATTAAAAGCACTCTGGCTTTAGAAATGGACAAGCCTGGGCTCAAGTCCCACCAAAAGCAAGTCAGTAAAGCAAGGAAGGGAAACCTGGACACTGAAGCCAGCAAAAAATGTCCTAAAGCTCTTTTCCAATAAGCAGAAACGCTATGGAAACACCTGCACTTCACGCGCTTACTGAGAGATGGTGATGGAGAACTCACTTGAATGAGGAAGGTGACAGCTGCTGCACATGAGGAAGTCATACCAGGACAACCCGACACCAACCACACATCACAACAATCCAGTCACACGAGCAGGAAAGGTAAGAAAAGACAAGTGAGTGAGTGGTAAGAACTGCCTTTGACACATCAGGGTCTAAATTTTATACAGTAATCGTGACAGGAGAAAAGACTGGATACCTGAGCAGCTTTATTGTCCACACATGTAGAGATGTACCACTTTGATGCAGAGAGGGTCTGGGATGCTAAAACTGATTGCAAAGTGCTTTCCCATGTATAAGCACATCTGAAGTTACAGGCTGCTAAGTATCTGAACTGTACAAACAAAAGCTAAAACCTAGTGTGCTTTTTGTTGCACGTAGATTTTATTTCCAAGATGACAGCTTCATTTTAGTCCATTTCCCCCACACTTGGAAGGGGAAAAGGGTTTCCTAGGAAATTAACCATGCACCATTTCTTATCCTGCCTTTGCTTTTCTAATTTAGGATTCAGGTTTGTGGCTGCCTTTCCAGCCAAGTTCACTTCAAACTGGCAGACTCCACTCTCTGGGACTAGGACATGAGCTCTGGAGTTCAACACTCCTTGGTTCAAGTCCAGGTTCTACCACTTATACGTGCTGTGACTTTCAGTACTTCATGTCTGGGATTTAACTGTAAGATGTAGATAATAAAATAAAACAGTAAGTTCAAGTTGACCTGTGGAGTAGGTGTCCAGTACATTTTAGTACCCTCTCCTTTCCATTTACAAAATCTTCCTCCCAGGATTATGCTGCACCAGATGAAACTTTGCATCTGCTGCATTTAGTCATCTGTTTGACTATCTATCGAGGCTTCCCTGCTGGCTCAGTGGTAAAGAATCTGCCTCCCAATGCAGGAGACGTGGCTTCAGTCCTTGAGTCAGGAAGATCCCCTGGGGAAAGACAATGGCAACTCACTCCAGTATTCTTGCCTGGAGAATCTCATGGACAGAGGAGCCTGGTGGGCTACAGTCCATGGGGTCACAGGACTCAGGCAAGACTTAGTGACTAAACAACAACATCTATTTATCAATCATCTCCTTCTACCTATCTAGGGTGCTTCTGGATTAGAACTAAAGGCCACTTGGACACAATCTGAATTAAGAGACTCTTGCTTTCACATCAATCCATTTTCTATTCCAGTAGCTAATGGCTTGGTGCTTTTCAGCCTGATATTGCTGTATGCACACATGTATACCTGCATGTACAATGTAGCTGTTAAATCAGATGATAACACTTTACTATAAATCTCTTAATTATAAGTGATGGATTCAGCACACCAATCTCTTCCTATCTATGAGCTATTTTTACCAAAAGTAAAATAACCCCAGCTTACTCTAATTTGAATTGAGGTACTTTTCTAGCTACTGTGTTATATGTGAATTGTGAGGGACCCCTGTTTGAGATCATTAGAGGAAGAGGGCGCTGGGGATTGATAAAAGGGATAAAAGGAAAGTGAGGCTAACAGGGAAGTGAGGTTAGAGATTTGAGGGAAGATGTGGAGGAGAGGAAGGAGCTGGGACCAGGGAAACCTGGGCTGTGACTGGTGCTGTGACTGCAGGTCTTGGCATGAACTTGCAGGGCCCAAGCTCTGACTGCGGAAGAGAACCACAGAGCATCTGCTCAACTTTGTCTATCAAAACTACTCTGCATCTCCAAGCTACTGTCAGACCCAGGAATCAGAAGCCAAGACTCTGAGTCAAAAATCAAAGATGACAGGATGGACAGTCAGGTGGCAGAGAAACACCATTATCATGTTTTATCTGCAGTGAAGCAAAAGGGATTCAAAGCAGCCCCCTGAGATTGTGGAAAAGAGAGACTAGACATTTCCAACGAGCTAAGGATGGTTGTTTGAATTTGAGTCATATAGGATCCACTGTTATTTATCTAAGATGTACAAGATGAAGTGCTTACAGCCTTTATTAATGTGCTGTACTTGTTTTTATTTTAATTAATATTTAGGAGCTGTCATGGGCCAGCTAGTGGTGAGGTCCAAATCCCACTTGTTCCAATTAGTGAACTGTCCTGTCACAGGGGTTTCAGGAGCCCAGCCCTCACAAGACTCTCTCTGATGAACGGTCATTACCAAGGACCAGGCAGTAGACCTGTGACGGCCTCTGAGAATATAACGAAGTGAGACATGGGAATTCCTTGCATTTTTCTTTTCCTCTGCTCATTAGGTAACCCACACTTTATATGTTTCCCACGTTCTGATCTGAGCCATGAAGGGCCCCCTTCTCTCTCTACAACTCCCCTTGCAGGGTGCTAGCCAGCCTGTGTCAGGAAGGCCCACCACTTATTTGGCAGTGGGGACACTGTTTGGCACAATTCATGCCCTGAATCAATGAGGCAAAGGGGGCCCTGGCTTTATTTTGTGAAATGGTGAAATGGATACAAAGTCTATAAACTTGCACTGAATACACACAAATAGAAACCAAGCAGGTGTCCTGTCTGCATGATGCAATTTAAAAACAGAATATAGTAGACTCTTGAGAAACACATATTCGAACTGTGTCGGTCCACTTGTATGCGGGCTGTTTTCAATAGTAAGCACTACCACACTGCTGAGTGTGCTGAGTCTGAGGTTGGTTGAATCATTGGATATGGAGGAACGACATACATCACAGGACCACGGGTACGGAGGGCCAGATGTAAGCTATACACAAGTTTTCCACTGCATAGAGGACTGGTGCTCCTAACCACCACATTGTTCAAGAGTTGGGACTTCCCTGGAGGTCCAATGCCAAAATGTAGGGGGCCCAGGTTCAATCCCTGGTCCGGGAACTAGATCCCACATGCCTCAACTAAGAGTCAACTGTACTAGAAACGAAACATCAAAGGGTGTGAAGGCAAAAGTGTCTTCTGAATCAGGCCGAGGAAACACCCCCGTGTCTGGTATCAGAAGGCTGCTTGCTTCCAGGGGCACCTGCAATTTACCCCCATGAGGTACCACCCCAGCTGACTCAGCTGCATTTACAGAGAGGGCCTGTGAACAGTGCCCCCTGGTGGCAGAGGACAGTGGTCCCGCCACAGCCCTGGCACCCACAGTGGGCGCTGCCCCTCAGAGATGAGAGGACGGGGAGTCCTGCCGCACTTGCTGTGTCCTGCCCTTGGAAGAACTCAACCACTGGACGGTGGCGGTACACATTTGCTTGCTTTGACCTGTAGGCCCACCTTCGAGTTTCTTCCCTTCAATACGCTCTATTTCCAAGGTTTCAAACTCTAACTTGAAAGCATCAGGAGGCATTGTTAGTAACTTTTAAAGCTGGTGCTTTAAAAAGTCCTTGAAAGTAATTATCGAGGCTGCTGCATTACCTGTGCGTGCTTTGAGACCCAGTGACGGAGAACGTTCAGTACTCGATTCGTGGCTGTTCTGCGTATAATAAACTCTTTGTCGCATGTTCTCTCGGAGTTGTTCAACCCTTGGGAGGAAAAGAAACACACATGTTTTAGTTAAAGCCAATCCCCAGGGACCTGGAAAAGGTCACTTATTTTGGGATACTGGTTAATGACACTCACAAATGACACGTCTTGGCAGAGGCGTGGCTTCAGCTGGTCGTGGATTCTGCTTACTTACCTATGATGCCCTCAGAGGCCACAACATAGTTACAGGTACAATTAAATGAATAATGTGCACATATTTATTAATGGCCACTGATTAAAGCTACAAATGGCCTAGTGAAATTTCCACTTATACCCATCCTGTTGTGTAACAAAAAGCCAAGAAGGAGTTTTAACAAAGTATCTGAGCCAACATTAGTTTATACTTTTGCTCCAGAGTCATATAACCACAGATATTTTCAATATTTGCAGGTGGATAAGCTCATACCTTGGCTCACAGATGATATAAATACTCACTCATATAAATATGTGCACTCACATATTGAGAAGCAGTATAGCACAGTGGTTAAGAACATGAGGGAGCTTCCCAGGTGGCGCTAGGGGTAAAGAATCCACCTGCCAACTCATGAGACGTAGGAGACTTGGGTTCGATCCCTGAGTCAGGAAAATCCCTCAGAGGAGGGCATGGCAACCCATTCCAGTATTCTTGCCTGGCGAATCCCATGGACAGAGGAGCCTGGCGGGCTACAGTCTATAGGGTTGCACAGAGCTGAACACGACTGAAGCGACTTAGCACGCAAGCACGTAAGAACATGAACTCCACGGCCAGACTCTCTGGGTTCAAATCCCTGTCCTCCTACGATATAAGTTACAGCTCCTCTCTGGTGATTAGCTTCCTCATGTCCTGAATGGAATAAGTGTATCAACCACACAGACTTTTTGGAGATTAAGTCAGTTAAGCATTTATAGTGGCACTTGGGAAAATAGTGAGAGTGCAATAAATGTTAGCTAGTATTACAACTCTGTCTTGGGGCAGAGTCTTCATCTCTGTGCCAGCCTATGTTTCTATCTTGGCCACCTCTTCACTATCAAAAAACTAGTATTTCTACTGATTCTCTATTTTAAAAGATTTTGCTTTCCCATCATAACTAAGTGACTTGTTTCCTTTAAAAATGAATTCAAGGGGACCTCCCTGGTGGTCCAGTGGTTAAGAATCTGCGTTTCCACTGCAGTGGGCATGAGTTTGATTCCTGGTCAGGGAACTGGGATCCAACATGCCATGTGGTATGGCCAAAAATATAAAAATAAATAAATAACTTCCATTATTAAAAAAAAGAAAGAATTCAAATCTCACATAACTTTCCTGGGAAACTTAAAAGTTGTCTACATTCACTGATTTCATTTCATCTCCTACTTGCTCTATATTCTACTCCTAGCTTCTTACCCCATCTTACCACCAAAACAGCCCCCACTAAACTCACCAATAACCTCCACATTTTTATAACCGATTCAATGGACATGGAATTGGGCAAGCTCCAGGAGATGGTGAGAGACAGGGAGGCCTGGCGTGCTGCAGTCCATGGAGTCAAAAAGAGTCAGACACAGCTTGGCAACTGAACAACACCCTGTAATCTCTTCATAGAGAATATCATCTAGTAATCACCTATAAAAAATTACTCACATAATTACATCCCCAGTTTTCTTCCCTGGTCTCTGGACCCATGTATCCAACTGCCTCTTGATATTTTCCTCTTAGATGTTTCAAAAATCTCAAACTCAATACATGCAAAAGGAAACCCCCTGGCCTTTCCATCAAACCTTATTCTCTTTGGGTGTTCCCCATCTCAGGAAAGGACCACCACCAGCCATCCAGTTATGTAAGCCTGGAACTTTGGAATAGTTCTTGGCAAATCTCTCTGCTTCTCCTTGATAATTTTACCCGCTAAATAAATCTCAAATCTGTCCATGTCTTTGTATTTACAAAGCCAAAACTGGCATTGAGCTCTGGCAATTCTCATTTAGTCTACTGACAATAGCCTCCTAACTAGGCTCATTGTCACTTCTGCCTCCTCAAATTTGTTCTCTTTTCTGAAGTCAGAAAGATCTTCCAAAGGGCAAATTAGATGTGCCATTCGCCTGTTTAAAGCCCTTAATGGCTCGTGGGATAAACACAAAACTCCTTAACACAGGCTTCAACATCTTCCATGGTTAGGCTCTTAGCTCCCTTTTAGCCTTTTCTGAGACTGTATACTTTTCATGATTTCCTCTTCCAATTAACCACCCGTCTTTCAGTCCTTCATCCTCACCCCAGAGTCGCTATACACACTGCTCCATATCTGGCACAATTATCACTCCGCTTTTCACTCAGTGAAAGCCACTCTTTCTCACTTCATTTCAGCTCAGATCAGTCACTCAGTCGTGTCGGACTCTTTGTGACCCCAAGGACTGCAGCATGCCAGGCCTCCCTGTCCATCACCAACTCCCAGAGTCTACCCAAACCCATGCCCATCGAATTGGCGATGCCATCCAGCCATCTCATCCTCTGTCGTCCCCTTCTCCTCCTGCCCCCAATCCCTCCCAGCATTAGGGTCTTTTCTAATGAGTCAACTCTTCGCGTGAGGTGGCCAAAGTATTAGTGTTTCAGTTTCAGCATCAGTCCTTCCAGTGAATACCCAGGACTGATCTCCTTTAGGATGGACTGGTTGAATCTCCTTGTACTCCAAGGGACTCTCAAGATTAGCATAACCTAGAATAGAATTGTACACACTGGATTCCACCCAGACCTGAATCAGAAATATGCATTTTAACCAAGTGGCTTGTATGCTTATTAAAGAGAAATATGCTGCTGCTGCTACGAAGTCGCTTCAGTCATGTCAGACTCTGTGCGACCCCACAGACGGCAGCCCACCAGGCTCCGCCATCCCTGGGATTCTCCAGGCAAGAACACTGGAGTGGGTTGCCATTTCCTTCTCCAAGGCATGNATTGGAATGAAAACTGACCTTTTCCAGTCCTGTGGCCACTGCTGAGTTTTCCAAATTTGCTGGCATATTGAGTGCAGCACTTTCACAGCATCATCTTTTAGGATTTGAAATAGCTCAACTGGAATTCCATTACCTCCACTAGGTTTGTTTGTAGTGATGCTTCCTAAGGCCCACTTGACTTCATACTGCAGGATGTCTGGCTCTAGGTGAGTGATCACATCATCATGATTATCTGAGTCGTGAAGACCTTTTTTGTACAGTTCTTCTGTGTATTCTTGCCCTCACATCCCCAAGTAAGCCCTTCCTGGCCTGAGCTCAGTAAATCCCTCATTGCACATCTCACAGCAACATGTACCTTTATTTCCTGACACTGGCTGCATTTGCAATTTTACACATTTTATCCATGTGATTATCTGATCAGTATTTGAGCTCTCCATGAAGACGGCGATCAGGTATGTTTTTGCTGAGCATGAGCACATAACTGGCATGTAGCAGATGCTAGACACAATATATGCTTGCTGAATAAATTAATGCAAGCTTGTACAGTAGGAACTCAGTATTTATTGAATGTGCTATAAAGGTAAGGGTGATGAAAGAAAGACTGAATGAACAGTTCTCAAGCTTACAGATGAGTTACCAAAAAGCGCATGCACTTCTAAAAGGCACAGGTCCCTTCTCCACACACCTCTTTGAATGTGGACGGGCATCTTCCATCCACTAGAAGACACTGTCAGAGGATGGTGATGTGCTCTTGGCAAAAGAGATTTTTTTTTTAACTTTTTGCTATTAAAATCTTAGAAATTCTGGGGAAAATATAATATCTTTTTAAATGCATAGCTGAGTTCTCAAGAAGATAAGAAATTTTCCAGAGTCAAACACAGAGAGACTTGAAAATAAGAACTCAGTCTCTGAACTACTGCTTTGAGAAGAGAGTAACAGGAGATGTGGATTATAAATCCATGTGACTCAAGAGAAGAAGTCCCAGGGCCTTCAGGAAGTGTGGGTGACAGAATTAGAACTGAGACTCCCACATAAAGCTGGAATTCTCATCAGACCACCCCCTCTGCCCTAGAGAGGATTAGGAAAAGAAATTCTGCAGCCTGCACAAGGAGGTGGTTAAGAAAGTTGACTATCTTGGCCTGGATCGCAGTGGGGGTGAACTACCCCCTGCCGAGAATAGATAACCACAGGTCCACCTCATGTAGGTTTGAAGCCCAGAATAAACCATTACTGGGTGGCCATGGCCAGTGATAACTCTGGTGCCCTGACAAAAGCATACACAAAACCTCTCCAGAGAGACATGAGCTTACCCTCAGCCTATACTGGATGACCAACAAGAAAGACCCTTAAGAAAAACTCACAATCCCAAAGCACAAAACAAATAAGCCATCCACCATAAACAAGGGTCCATAGACGCAGGGATCAGGAACTCCCCACCTCATCCCACCCCTCCACCACTACCAAAAATTTCAAATATCCTAAATTAGGATGCTTATAAAGACTAAAGATATAAAAGTGTGAACTAAAAACATGTGAAAAGAATTTAAAATACTTTAAGTTTTATAAGATCCACGTAAAATGTCTTCAAATTAACAGAATTATTATTTCAATTATTGCTGAAAAATAGACAAGTTGAAATTTAAAACATGAATTTGTTAGTCACTCAGTCATGTCCGACTCTTTCCCACCCTATGGACTATAGCCTGCCAAGCTTCTCTGTCCATAGAATTCTTCAGGCAAGAATACAGGAGTGGGTAGCCTTTCTCTTCTCCAGGGGAATCTTCCTGACCCAGGGATCAAATCTGGGTCTCCTGCATTGCAGGTGGATTCTTTACCTGTATGAACTATAAGGGAAGCCCAAAACATGGATAGAAAAATATAAATAAACACGGGTTAGACCCAGTTAAATAAAGAAAGGAGCAAATTCTAAAGAGATCTGAAAATTTGCAAATCATGGACGGTAACCCACCAGGTTCATCTGCCCATGGAATTTTCTAGGGAAAGAATATTGGAGTGGGTTAGCCATTTCCTCCTCCAGGGAGTCTTCCCAACCCAGGAATCGAACCTGTATCTCCTGCATTGCAGGCGGATTCTTTAC